AGGCCACCTGGGAGACTGCAGCCCAAGAGAGGCGGCTTGTGCCGGGGTCTGCTCTTCGCTGGGGCTTTCTGGGGCCGTGGCCCTGCGAACAGAAGGGTCAAAGCACGTAAAGCTGGAGGAGGGAGAGGGGGATGTCGCCTGGGCGCACCCATCGACATTTGTGGCTTATATTTGGTGGCTGTGAGGTGTTGCAGGGGCAAAGGTTCATCCTTATTAACTTTTTCCTGCCTTTCAGATGCCAATTTCTTTGATTTTTTTAATTTTTTTTTTAATGCACCCAACCTTTCAATTAAAAAAAAAAAAAAAGCAAAGAAGTTGGTAAATTTATCCGTTTTTTACCAACCTTTCAATTAAAAAAAAAAAAAGCAAAGTAGTTGGTAAATTTATCCGTTTTTTCTTCTTTTTATCTGCCCATTCGCCAAGCCACTGGCATCACTCACTCTGCATCAGTGGAGAATAGTAAAGCTCAAAGTAAACAGGACAGCTTTTGCCATGGAAACAAAAGTTGCTAGGGGATGGGTTGCTACTACGCAGTGGCGTGCTCTGAAGCTGTGAGCATACATCCCACGTGTTCCCAGGCACCTCAGGTTTAGGCACTGAAAAACTTCTTCATGATGGAACCACTTCCTGCAGCCTGGATGCACTGTGCATAACACAGATTCGGGTAACAGTTGACTCTTTTTAGCAAGTATCCCAAGATTTCAGCATTTAAGTTTCTCAGCTGTGAAGGTGGGACATGAAGATACACATCAAGGCTCAGGAGATCGTAGCTCCTGCCGTATTTACTCACCCGATGTAAACTGATGCTGACACAGGCTTCCTTATTCCTGGGGAACTGTTTTCTCCCACCATAGTCTGTTTCAGGGCCTCTGCCCCATCTGTAAGTAGCAAAAACAACATGATGTTGACATTCCAGCTGAGAAAAGAGACCATCTTAGGCCAAATTCCCAGGCTGCTTCAATGAGTTGTATAGGGCTGGGAAGCTTCTCTTCTCTTCTCGACAAAATATTTTGCAAAAGATAGGAGATTAGTTAGAAGTGGAAGAGTCTGAAGAAAATGTTCAGTAGGACTACTATTATGCAGTGCTTGAAAAGAATTAATGATGCTGGCAGTATCTTCCCCCCCCCCCTTCCATTTTAAAAGGTCATACTACTTGATGCTATCACAACCCTTTCAAGCAAGAGATTATTCTCTTGTTTTCTATTCCACCTCCCAGCTCTTATTTCTCATTTTGCTCATATGCCTGACCAAAACCACCTATTAGCATTTTAGATGGCTAAAGAGAAAAGAATCTATGTGCAATATAAATGATTTCAGGATGTGTGGTTCTTACAGGCAGCACTTCATTAAGCTGTGAGAAACACCACACCCTCCTTTCTCTCTCTCTCGACTCAAGGTACAGACGGTGCAGTGAGCACAAGGCAGTGTTTGTACAGATTTCCATCACGTTACATTCAGTTTTCTTAAATTAATTGCAGTAAGCTACAGTTGCTGGTTCAGACTCAGCAATGTGCTTCATCTGAATTCTAGAGAAACCAAAGAAGCTCTAAAATTGTCTCTAAAATTACTCCAGGTGGCAGCTGGAATAATATAAGTGAGCTTTGGTGGGCCACGTTATCTGGTCATGTCAGGTCTGGTCCTTCCCTGTGTTGACCTTATGGAGTCACTTACACCTGGAGAAAGTATCTCTCTTTCTGCTCATGATGTGATGCACTGGCCCAGGTTGCCCAGAGAGGTGGTAGAAGCCTCATCCCTGGAAACATTCAAGGTCAGGTTGGACGGGGCTCTGAGCAACCTGATCTGGTTGAAGATGTCCCTGCTCACTGCAGGGGGGTTGGACTAGATGACCTTGAAAGGTCCCTTCCCACCCAAACTCGTCTGTGATGCTGAATATACTTACCAGAATGACTTAAGTTGGCAAAGGATTTAAGCATAATTTCCTTAAGGAGGTAGAGTTGATGTGAGAATAAAGATCTAAGTAAGGACCTGAGTCTCTGCAGAGCTTTGGTTGGCCTCTTCACTTTCTTCTCTTCCTGATGTGGGAGATGAAGTGCTTGTTTACTCATAGCCAGAAGACATGTTGGGGGATATGGACATAAACTGTTCTTATCCTCAGGGCTAAGGGCTGTGTGACCCTGTGTGTGAGAGCTGGGGCACCTGTGGTAAACTACACCTTTCACCCTGAGGTATTTTTAATGAGGTGAGCAGAACTCTGTTGTTATGAGAACTGTTGTTCTGTGAGAGAGGGCAGCTAGCCACTGAGGAAATGGTGGCAGTGAGAAAAGAGAACTTATTTTCCTCTTTTTTTCCAGGTAAGGAATAAACAGCAGGAGGAGGGACTCACAAGGAAAACAGAAAGAGCTCTTTTGCAAAAGAATAAACAGGCTCCAAAGTAGATGAACCTTCAGCATCTTCCCCCAAGAGTTCAGATTATGTACTTATATCCATACCACTTCCTTTTTTGTTAGGTTTTTTTGGTACCTCAAAAAGTACCAGTGTTCAAAAGCTCCTAAGCATTGTAAAAAAAAAGCACAACTTCTCCCCCCCCCCCCCCAATATATTAATTGTAGTGGAGAGCATCAGTATTAGCACCATACAACTTGATGTGGGGTGGCCTAGGTGCCAGGCTCTCCCTGAGCACCTGGCACTTGCCTGCTGTCCCAAGGTCTCTGCCTTTGGTGCCCCCAGCATCACACGAGCTGCCTCTTCCACTCCATCCTGACATCTGTGAGAGCCTTGAAACTTCATCATGACTTGCAAGAGAGATATCTGCAATTATAAGAGGCTGAGATAATGAAATCCCAAACTAAATGTGTATCAGATACACAAAATAAATAAAACACCCGATATTATTAGCAATAAAGAGGAAAAATGCAAACCCCTCTTTATCCAAGAACACAACCAGATTCCAGAAGGCTGGAAGATCACTGTCATACCAGGAGTGATTTCAGAGCCAGCCAAGAGCTTCACTCAGGCTCTTGCCATTCCCCAGCGACACTTTCTGGCTTTTCCTGCTGAATTTAAACCAAGCAATGTTTGTTTTTCTTGCATATTCGGGTATTTCATACCCAGCAAGATCACCCATCCCTGAAGAGCTGCAAAACTGGGAGGTCCTCACTGCAATGAGCATGTCAAACCTTCCCTGTAAGTGAAATTGCTCTTGGCAATCAGATAAACTGCGTGAAGCTGATGTAAATTGAGCTGTGACATCCAGATGCGAGCGCTGATTAACAGATCCCTTTAGACAAGGACTTTTTGAACTCCTTTCTAGAGAGAAGCCAGTCAGCTCAAGTAACATCGACCTGTTGCTCAAGTTTTTTTAGGGGCTGGTATTACTTTAATGAATTCAGGAGCATCCCACCTGTTCAAGCAAGGTCTGGCCTGGGACCTGCATAGTTAAATACAAATTTTGTGTGTTAGGAGAAGTTCCCTGAAGTGGAAAGAACGGGGAACATTGTTGGTAGTTTTCATAGCAGTCAAAATTCTGATTTTCTTTAAGTCAGCAGGAGCCTGGGCATTGACTTCTCCAAGGAAACAGTGGTTTGCCACAAGTTTAGTATTTCACAGAATCACAGAATGTTGGGGATTGGAAGGGACCTCAAAAAATCATCCAGTCCAATCCCCCTGCCAGAGCAGGAACCTCAATGAGATCACACAGGAAGGTGTCCAGGTGGGTCTTGAATGTCTCCAGAGAAGGAGACTCCACCCCCTCCCTGGGCAGCCTGTCCCAGGGCTCTGGCACCCTCACTGGAAAGAAGTTTCTTCTCAAGTTGAAGCAGAACCTCCTGTGTTCCAGCTCACACCCATTGCCCCTTGTCCTACCATTGGGCATCACTGAGAAGAGCCTGGCTCCATCCTCCTGACATTCGCCCTTTACATATTTATAAACATTAATGAGGTCTCCCCTCAGTCTCCTCTTCTCCAAGCTAAAGAGCCCCAGCTCCCTCAGCCTTTCCTCAGCAGGGAGATGCTCCACTCCCTTCATCATCTTGGTGGCTCTGTGCTGGACTCTCTCCAGCAGTTCCCTGTCCTTCCTGAACTGTGGTGCCAAGCTGTGGGGCCAGCTGTGATTTCCATCTCAGCTCTCTTCAGTGAGCAAATTAGTGCTGTTATGGCATTCCTTCTTTTTCAGTTTTAATTATCTGTATTTAAACACAGGATATAGACAGTTTCCATCTGTTTAGGAACTTGTTTTGCCTCTGTTTCTCATGGCTGTGAGTGTTATGTCAATGGGTTTATGTTTGGACTCAGTCCTACAGTTCAGAAGGTTTTTCAAAAATATTTAAAAACCAACCAACCAAACCAACCTTACCCAGGAGTTTGGAAAGTTCCTAAGGCTGCAAACTCCAGTTAACTGATGGAAGCAGAGTCTGCACGAAGGGCAACATGAGCCCTTGAGGGGTGCTGGCTTTTGTTAGCTGATATATTCTGCTTTTATCCATCTCCATGGAAACCCAGTAGCTCACTAGTGTGAAAGCTGGGGAGCAGGCACCCTGCATAGGGGAAGGAATGTGCCCTGCAGCAGCTTTAGGCTGGGCTGTGCCAAGACACCGAGTGTCCTGGGTTTGCTTAAGCTGAGTCACTGCAGGCAACTCTACCAGGCTTGGTTCTTGGTTTGGGGGAAAAAAGTATCTCCTGGGCTGCTTTTCTTTGTGTCACCAGCTTGACTCTCCTGCCACAGCAGTAACGATGTGCTTTGCGTGAACCTCTCGTTGCAGGTAGGAAGGATGAGCTCCTATGCAGACATCTGCGGGTCCAAGCACGTGCAGGGCAGCACCGAGGGAGGATACCAACGCTACGGGGTCCGGTCCTACCTGCATCAGTTTTATGAGGACTGTACAGCTTCAATTTGGGAGTATGAGGATGATTTTCAGATCCAGAGATCGCCTAGCAGGTGGAGCTCTACGTTCTGGAAGGTACTAGTTGTTGTTGGAGAGAGAAACTCCCATTTTGGGATTTTTCACATGTAACTAATGATTTTAGATACTCATCCAGAAAGGTCTTCTGTTGCTCAGTTTTCACTGAGATGACTGAATAAGTCTGTCTGAAAACGGGGTGCTGTTGCCAAGATGCATCAGCTTCCAAGGGTGTTCTGGGATCTTTGGATCCTCTAGTTTCTCTGCCACAAGAATCCATGTCACTGAAGCATCTCTGGGAAATGCCACCCATAGCTTGGAAGTGAAGTTTCCCTCTGCTCTGCACCCACAACACTCCTGCCAGGTTACTGGGAACAGGACTGGTAGGTTAACAGCAGTAACTCTGGGGCTGTGTGACTTAGAGATCAAAGAAACCAGAAGATCTCCACTAAGGTCAGGGCACACAGCAGAACTGGAGAACACCAGAGGTTGGAAGGGATCCCTGAGGCCATTAATCCAACCGCTCTGCTTTGATGTTAGTGCCATTCTGTGTGAACCAAATTTTGTTGGTTACACTTAAACGTGCCAGCCAAGACTCTGAAATGTTCACAGCAATAGCCAGTTCCTTCTAATTCACATAATTATAGTGGTTGGAAAAGACCTTTAAGATCACCGAGTCCAACCATAAACCCAACACTGCCAATTCCACCTCTAACCCATGTCCCTGAGCACCTCGTCTGCCCGTCTGTTCAATCCCACCAGGGAAGGGGACTCCACCACCTTCCAATGCTTGACTGCCCTTTGGGTGAAGAAATTTTTCCTCTTATCCAATCTACACATTCCCTGGTGCAACTTGAGGCCATTCCTGCAAAGGAATGACATTTCATGGCTAAAAGCAGGTTGTGGATATGACCCAAGCAGCAGGGACTGAACTGTTGGTGCTAACCACCACCTAAAGCTAAAGAAACCAAGCAGCACTGGAGTTAAACTGGAATCCACTTGGTGATGGGGTCTTTGGATGTGAAATGTTATTTAGACATAGAATATTACACATATTCCATTGTTTCCAGAAGTGTCAGCACTAAATTATATAGATAGGAGTTGTAAAATGGCAGTTTCTCCATATATTCTAGTTCTAGTAGGGCCACAGATGACCTAAAAGACAAGTATCAGCCTTCTCCTAGAAGAGAGAACTGTACCTACAAGACACTGTCACCTCCTAGGGCCACTCACCACCTAAAAAAAAAAAAAAAACCAACCTGGAAAGCCATATTAATTGCCTTTTTTTGTTTCTTTCTTTGTTTTCCAGGTCGGACTCATCTCTGGGACAGCTTTTATGCTGATAGGTTTAACGGTTCTTGTAGTGGGTTTTCTCGTGCCACCAAAAATCGAAGCTCTTGGGAGAGATGATTTTGTGGTGGTGGATACCCGTGCCGTTCAGTTTAACGGCTCCCTTGACATATGCAAGCTGGCAGGAGCCATCTTGTTTTGCCTGGGAGGTTCCACCGTGGCAGCCTGCCTGCTGATGTCTGCTTTTGCTAAAAGTTACTCCAAAGAAGAAAAGTACCTCCAGCAAAGATTTAAAGAGAGAATCGCTGATATCAAAGCCCACACAAACCCAGTCACAAAAGCCCCAGCGCCAGGAGACTCCAAGATACCCGTCACTTTGTCCAAAGTTCAGAATGTCCAACCTTTATCTGAAACCTGACCCTTTCCTTAGGGGTTTTTTTTTTTGTTTCTCACTTGTAGATCACTAACTGGAAAATACCAGCTGTTGTTGGCATAGGTGTGAGTCAGTTCCAACATCCAGTGCTCTGCTATACAAACACACACAGCTGATGGGGGAAGCTGCTCCAATACCAGTTTAGGAATAGGGGGGAAAGGGAAATTATGCAGGGAAATTAGACCTGTGACCGATATATTCCACAGTATTTAGATATTTTAATCTGTGTTGAACCACTAAGTCCTTGCAACGACAATTAGGTGTTTCAGATTGCATCCCTGGAAAACAGGGAGAGCGCTGCTGAGAGCTCTGTCAGGAACGCCCTACATCCCGCTGTTTAAAGTTTACACGAGTTGGCTTTTGTTTCATTTCCTTCTTGCTGTTAAAAATACTGTCCAGTCCTTATTTTTACAGCCTGGGAAGCCAAGATTCTGCCCTTGTCACTTGCACTTGTCCTCCTGCCACGTGCTAGGATCTGTATTGAAGTCATAGTGCACAGGTAAAACACAGATCTGGCAGCGAGCGCCCTGCATTTCACCCTGGCACGTGTCACTTCCCAGCAGCGTCGCTTTCTGGGAAAGGCAGGTTATGCTTGATCCTGATTTACCCCTAACCTGTGCAAAAACAGGCACTTTTGTCTTTGTCCTTGCCATATTAACAAAAATTACACAGTCATGGGGTGGAAGGGACCTTAAAAACAGAAGGAATTAATACGGGAGGAGGAACATCATACCTGTCTTTGGTTTGCTGTTGTTTCTTTCATTAGGTTGTGTTATATTTGAAATTCATACAAAATCTTTTGGTTTTGGCATTACTAAATGTGGTTTGATATGCCCAGGCCCTGTGTTCTGCCAGGACATTAATGCCATGTGAGATGACCTTGACATAATTATCTAAAGACATTTTGAAATGCTGTTTATATTTTTATAGAGGATAGAAAAAGTTATGCTTTAACCAGATACATTTGTGTAAATGCTTACCTGAAGACTTGTACTTTCACTCTTAATTATTTTCCCCACCCAAGGCAATTATTTCTCTGTCTTAATCCATGGATTTAAATTAAACTGTATAAAGAAAGATGTGACATTTGTACTCTCTGACAATATGTGCCACCTTATAGTTCTGTCTATTTTTTTGAATGGATTGAATAAAATTCTAGGCGTGAGCCAACTCTGGATTTCATGAAAAGTCTTTTTCTAGACAAACAGGTTCCTCTATAAATCTAATAATTCGGTTTGAAAGGAGAAATCTGCGCTCAAAGCTCACTGATCTCTTAACTCACTCTGTGCTTTCAGCTTCCATAGGTGAGGAAATCACTTCAGTGCTGAATCTAAAAGATTCCAGCACAGTGATGACAGGGATGTGCTAACAGCTGTGCTCTTTCCTTTGCTGATAAAACATTTTGTGGTCTCTGCTTTGCTTCAGACTTCCACAGCTTAAATAAACCAGAACACACGTGTTTAGAAGTTGCAGCTGTATCGGTGGTAATTATCGTGGCTGACAACAGCAGTGGAAGTAAAATTCTCTTCTGCAAAGAAAGTACCTGTCTCAGCAACGCAACTGCAGCGTCTGAACATCAGCACTGAAAAGATGGACAATCAGGAGCTTGTCAGGCAAACACCATTAATTACAGAGCATGAAATGAAGTAGGTTTTGATTCACTGGCACCCAGATATTGGAAGAGCAAAAGCACATTGCACCCAATGCTTAAAAATCAGATTGCAGTCTCAGGGGAGAAGCAGATGAAGCAGTGCCAAAGAGGAGAAGATGAGAAGACTGGTAAGGTGAGGTGAGGAGCTGTGTACTATTTATAAAGAAAGCCAACAAGAAGAGGGGTGATTGTGGTGGTTTCACTGGGCTGGCAGCCAAACAGCCGCTCGCTCACTCTCCTCCGCCCCAGGAAATAAGGGAGAGAATTGGATGGATAAGGGTCAGGAGAGCTGTAGGTTGAGATAGGAACAATTTAATAATTGAAATAAAATAAAACTTAAAATGAATAATGATGATAATAAAATGCACAAGTGAGTGAGACAGTGCAGTTGCTCACCACCCACCTGACCAAGCCCAGCCTGTTCTTGGATAATGATCCCGGAGGAGCGACAATCCTGAAACCACAATCCCAGAAGAGCAAGAGCCCAAGCAAGAAAGAGCCCCTCACTAATATTCTGAACTTGATGTTATATGATCTGCAATATCCCACTGGCAGAACCAAATGCCAGTCTAGCTCACTAATTTGAATATTCCTCATCCTCCTTAGACATTGCACCTGCAGACCAGCAAAACACAAAGTCCTTTGACTTCGAGCAACGATTGCAAACATCGGTGTGTTATCAACATTCTTCTCATACCAAATCCCAGCTGAAACCAAACCCCAGCGCTGTTCTAGCTGCTGAAAAGAAAACTGTATCCCAGCTGAAAACCAGGACAGCAACGAGCAGAGATTGCTCACGAGGCAGGTGGCAGGGCTGGGACACAGGGACAGGCTGTCACCGCTGCCCTTGGTTAGAGAGTCCTCAGCCCTTGTGTTTCAGGCTGGGAGGAATGTTGTCTCTGCCATCGGCTTTCGCTGCTGTTGGGCTGTCGCTGCGTGGGCAGCAGAGTCAGGCTGGCCTGACCTTTCCAGTGGAAAGGTTTAATTAAAGTTGCACTTGGAGGAAAGGGGACATGAAGTTTTACAGGGAAGTTCACCAAATTAGATGAGAGCGAGATCTCCTGTAGCTGTTACCGAGTCCCTGCTCTCCATCTACCTTTTGTTAACGCTGTACTGCAAGTCTCGCTGAGAATCCAGCTGGAAAAGAAAGCGCAGGTTGGGCTTCTTTACCCAAAATAGCTGCATGGGTCTGCAGTTCCTGAAAACACATCCCATCTTGTGTAGATCCACACCACAAGCATTGATAAATTTTTGTCCAGAGAGCAGCTGACCTGGCGGGCAGTGAACAGAGCTGACACAAGCACCAGGCGCTGGGTCACATCACACATCATCGCTGCTGCGGAACTGAACGTGCTCAGGCAGCACGAGAGAGGACAAGTCGCGTGTGGGGTTACCCAGGTGGTGGGGAGAAAGAAAAACCCTCAAGGATCTTACTGAGCTCTGCTGGGACGGGAAAAGCATTTGGGATTTAGCAGCAGCGGCGGTGGCAAAGCTGGTAACGCTGTCACGGCTCGTGCCACACACATTTCACCTCATTAAACCCTTGTTGCTGTTGCTCAGAGCTTTTCCAGGATTGAGACCTCCAGAGGCTGCAGTCCTTCACAGCAGAGGATCAGAGCCACACAGGGCTGCTGGAGAAATCCGGGCAGAAAATTACTCCGGTACTATTAAGAAGCCAAATATCGGAAAGTTCCAGTCACGTGATAAATAAATATTTTCAAGATCCATTTCCTTGCAATGTTTTAGAATCTTCATCTTTTGGTGCAGGAGCTGAAGCATCAGCAAAAGAGCAGTGGAGATGAGCTTTGTGCTGTTCTTAGAATGACAGACCGGTCAGGGTTGGAAGGGACCTTAAAGCTCATCCAGTCCCAACCCCCCTGCCAGCAGCAGGGACACCTTCCACTAGACCAGGTTGCTCAAAGCCTCATCCAACCTGGCCTTCAACACTTCCAGGGAGGAGCAGCCACAACTTCCTTGGCCAACCTGGGCCAGTGTCTGACCACCCTCACATCAAACAATTTCTTCCTAATATCTCATCTCAGTTTCCCCTCTGCCAGTTTAAAGCCATGACAGAAAAAGCTCTTACAGAAAATCCCCCTCAGGTCTCTGCCTTGGAGCCAGGGGAGCTTTTTTGCTCTCACAGGGTCACCCCTTCCCCCACTACTAAAAAAAAACCAGCTCCCCCCCACAAACCCAACACAGAACTTCTCCATGGCTGAGGTCAATCTGTCCTTGCACATCATGTTTCCCCACCATATATAATTTTCCATTTTCCCATCCCTACCAAATTGCAGAACATTCTCCACTCTGGGACTGCCTGGGACTTCCCCTCCTGGCACCAGCTGCCATCACCTTTCCAAAGGGCACGTTCATGGACTTCCTAGTGCAAATAAAACACAGCTCGAGCAGCCAAGCTCTTCTTTTTCCAACCCTTTGACCTGCCCACTCAAGAGGCTTCTTTGTTTCTTCACGCTCACCTTATTTCTTACCCCTCTTCGAGCCTTATTTGGTTTTAAATGACAACGCAACCACAGCCTAACATCATTTCCACAGAATGATAGACTGGTGGGGTTGGAAGGGAGCTCAGGAGATCATCCAGTCCCACCCCCCTACCAAAAAAGCAGGTTCCCCACACCAGGTTGCACAGGAAAGTGTCCAGGGGGGTTTGAACATCTCCAGAGATGGAGACTCCACACCCTCTCTGGGCAGCCTGTCCCAGGGCTCCAGCACCCTCACAGGAAAGAAGTTTCTCCTTAAGTTTGTCTGGAACTTCTGGTGTTCCAGTTTGTGCCCATTGCCCCTTGTCCTGTCACCAGCCACCGCTGAGCAGAGTCTGGCCCCATGCTCTCAACACCTGCCCTTTAGATATTTATAGACATTCATAAGGTTCCCATTTTCTGTGCAGCTGTGGTCAAAGAAACCCCATTTTTCAGCCTGAGCGGTAACCACCGACTTCAGTGCTGCTCAGATGTCCTCTCCTGCAGGCAAGTTCTGCTTCCCCTACCACACAGGGCAGGAAAAGCTTCTCTTCAGCATCTCTTCTGTCCCCCCCACCCCACCCTCTCCAGGTTGTCCTGACCCTTTTCTGTCCGTTTATTCCCAGCACACAGTGAATCACAGGCAGAGGCAGAGACGCAGCAACAACCCCTCCTCCCAGGCTGACTGGAGGCAGATTTAATTCCCGGTTCCTGCTGCAGCCATTCCCACATGGATGAGATTTTTTAATCACGTGTGAGCACAAGTAAAGAGCTCTTGATGAAAGCAGCAGCAGCAGCAGCAGCATCCTCCTCCTCCTGAGCAGCAGCAGAACCTGCACAATCAGGAAGCTGTTCAGCCCCCAAGGATGTAAAGCCAAGCGAGATGGCAAAAGGCAGGAAGAACCTTGGCTGGAGGCACTTTGCCAGCAGCTTTGTATCAAAGAGCTAACAGTAGAGCAACCATTTTTGGTAAAATAAAGGAATTGGGATCAATTGGGATTAA